CTCAGGAGGTCATTTTTAGCTGTTTTCTGCTCTGTCAACACGTCAAACCGCGAGTGACGATGACCAGTCTGCAGCAGCAGCAGCAGCAGCAGCATCTGGGAATGTGTGGCAAAGATGATTGTTACCATCTTTTGCTAAATGAGTGTATATATGTGACGTTTTCTCACCAAGTGAAGGCTTTGTTAGTGTTAGCATGTGTGTGGTATGTTTGGTGCCCCTTGAGAAAACAAGGATGTGTAGGTGCTAATCTCTTTGTGGTGCATTCACACTGTTCTCTCTTCTCTTCTGGGGGTAAAAAGACACCATACTTTCAACAGGTGGAACATACACTAACAGAGCAGTGTGTTCTTGGGTTGTATGAAGGTCTGTGTGGGCCTCACACCTTCTCTTTGAGCTCACCTCTCACTCTGTGCTGCTCAGCACCACCAACAACAGATGTATTCACACGTTCTCACAGGCATCTCTAGAGGACCAGCAACAGGAAGTGGAGTCGGGGATAAACAAAACATGACTGTTTTGCATCTCTGAAGCTCAGGTTGAAGTGTTAAAACAAAAATGGACATTTTAAGAGGGGTGATGGGCCAGACTATTTTTATACAGTAGCCAGCAAAGAACCCAGGAGGTTATGGTGTCTGGCCAACAAATAGTCAGCTACATAACTCCCCGTAAATCAGCAAATTGTCATTTTTACACTTTAGTTAATGTACAGATTACAGAAATAATATATAATGTGTTAATTAGTGAGCTTTAGAGGTGCTGGTAGGTGGATTTTGTCACCATAGCACAGAGCCAGGCTTCCTGTTTCCCCCTGTTTCCTGTCTTGGGGCTATGCTAAGATATCTGTCTGGATTAGCCTTATATTGAAAGGACAAACATCTTTTCAACTCAACCTCCATCAGAAAGCAAATAAGCAAGCAAATAAGCTAATTTTCCAAAGTATCAAACCGTTCCTTTAAAGGAACATATCAGAAATACATATTTTTCCTTTCACTTGTAATTCTATTTATTAATCCAGATTGTTTTCATGTGAGTTGCAGAGTTTTGGAGATATTGGCTGTAAAGATGTCTGCCTTCTCTCCAGTATAATGGAACTAGATGGCACTTGGTTTGTGGTGCTCAAAGCACCAAACAAAATACATTTAAAAAACTCAACAGCGATGTCTCTTTCCCTGGTTACTCAAGATAATCCACAGACCTTGTTGTGAGCAGTTTGATGTAGGAACTATTTTCTTTTTACTGAGCGACACTCGCACTGAGCTAGCTAACATCACAGCTTAGTCAGGGAAGACGGCATTAATGTGTACATCTCTTGAGCAGAAGCTTCTCATCGATGAGTAGATGCTGGTGCTCAAAAATACATTTGAAAAGCTCAACAGCAATGTCTCTTTCATGAAGTCATGACCCATGTACTCAAAATAATCCACAGACCTTGTTGTGAGCAGTTTCATATGGCAACTATTTTTTTTTTTTTACGGAACTACACTCACAAACTGTATCACTGCGCAGAAGGACGTGTGCATCTACTGCTAGCTCACCTAGCACCACTGAGCTAGCTAACGTTACAGCTCAGCCAAGGAAGACGCCATTAATGTTTACATCTGACACTGTCACGAGAAGATGCGAGTAGATGAGTAGATGCATGCCTCCATCTGTGGGGTGATACAGTTGGCAAGTATAGTTCGGCAGAAAGAAAATAGTTCCTACATAAAACTGCTCACAACAAGGTCTGTGGATTATCTTGAGTAAGAGGGTGAGTGCCATCTAGTTTCACTATATTGAAGAGAAAGCAGACATTTCTACGGCCGATATCTCCAACACTCACAGCAGAATATTCTAAATTGATCAATAGCACTGCAGGTATGGCCCAAAGAGGTAATTGAAGATTAGAGAAAAGTTCCAAAGGTGAATAGCAATTTTGCAGAACTTCTTCTTTCCTGCCCGATTAATCGTCTCACAACCCCTCCAATTTATCTTGTGACCCTTTGGATGGGCCTGACCCCTGTCCATGAACAATATAATAACTTCATAACACTGACATGGGCCATTTTTCTGCAGAGTACTTTTACTTTGATGCTGTCAGTATAAGTCACTCATACTTAGGTAGAGCATCTGTTTAATTGACTGCTAGTCTCATATAAAGTTAGACAATGACAAGAAACAGCAGTGATTAAAGTGCATAATATATTTAAATTTTGTCAACTTTGACTCTTGTTTCTGCTTCTCTCTAATACGATGGCACCCGAACCTCACATCCTGTCTGCTTGTGTCAAACGAGACGCTTATCAAAGCGGGATCTTATCATCTCTTCATGCAGAACACTCTCACTCTGTGGCGGCTGACAGCGGGCCAGTCACAGGGCAGGACTGCAGCCAAAATCTCCCCAGAGGAGCGAAGCCTTCAGGCTGCAGAGTCACAGTTTACAATGCTGGGTTTTCTCCATTTCATGCTCTCATACTCTCCATTGTCCCCGAGCTTTCACAGCTCCCCATCCGTAGGGCTTCAAACAATCATGTGACATTGCCTCATCCTCTGTTTGCAAAACGCCCTGCTTTTCTTCCTCCACCCTGTTTTACTGTGTTTTTTCCAGATTTTTAAACACGTTTTATGCACGCTATCTGGCACTGCACTCTAATTCTATCTCTCACTCCATCACTCTTCATCTCCTTACATTTGTTTTCACTCAAATCAAGATTTCCCACCGTAAACAAAGAGTGTATTGTGTCCGGACAGATCTTGTCTGTCCTCGGTGTTGACTGTTTTGTCTGTGGGAATCACCATGATGGATTGAGATCACCTCGATGCCTGCAGTGTGTGCGAGCGGACGCTTCCACTCACTCTCCCTTGCTTTGTTTTGACAGTCTTACAAATAACAATGATGTTTGGTTTGGTGTGCTATGTCTGTTCTTATTAAAGTAAGGACAGTGAATGCAGCGACAAATCAGCATAAAATTAGTTTCTTTTCTATCAAATATTTGATATTTTTGTGCAGACATAAAGTTTTCCAGGAGTCAAAAGATCTCTGCAAAGGTACTTCACTTCCTGTTAAGGCATCTAAACATTAACGCAGCAGTTTGACATTTGGGGAAAAGTTAATGTGCTCTGATGTAAAGTTAGGTAAGAAGATTGATACCACTTTTAATGTTTGTACCATGATGAAGCTTCTGCTAGCAGCCAGTTAGCTAGTCCATTCTGATTTTGACATTTCTGTCTCCTTGTTTCAATCAGGAAAGTTTAGAGGATCAGCAAGTACACAGTTCAGGAAGTAGGTCGACTTGTTACCTTTTTGCAGGATTTATACTTGTGCGTCAGCTCTATGTGGAGCCTATGCTGTAGCCTACGCACATGACCTACGCTGTCAGGCCAGCTATTTTTCCCTACTTATCAGTCTTCATGCTAAGCTAAGCTAACAGACTGCTGGCTGTAGCTTCATATTTAGTGTACAAACATGAGAGAGGTGTCAATCTTCTATCTAACTCTCTGCTAGACAGCAAATAAACACATTTCCCAAAATTCTGAGCTGTTCCTTTAATCATTCTGCCCAGATACGTAAGATCTTTTGACGATAGCCTGGTGGTACATGAGACCACCCCATAGCTGCAAGGTCAGAAGGTTGAATATAAATGCTCCTCAGCATCGACACTGAACTCCTTCCTCTGGTGCACATATATGTTTTCTTAAAGTAAGTCAAACTCCCTGTTGCGTAATCCAATAAGAGGATAGAGCTTTTAAAGTAGCAGATATGACACCAGGGGCTTGTCAGAGTGAAATCTTTTCTGACTTTAGATGTGAATTTGTGACCGCAGGACGTGAACGTGGCTAGTTTCACAGCTTCAGTTGGGGTGGAAAACTATATTCAACAATCGTGGTCTGTGGATTGGCTGTGATTTGCACACACTCTGGCTGGATCACCTGTGGTAAATCGCTGCGATGCATGACCACGGGAATCTGCAGTGTAATTTAGATCTTTACGGGGCTTCATCCTGCACACAGACACGCATGCTTATTGTTTACACATTGCAGACGTACTTATGTCTTTCAGAGATACGCACACACGCATACAGTCCCACATGCAGCTTTATAAAATGAGTGTTATTGTGAAGTGGCTAAACAGTCATCACTCCCTGGACCTGTGATTTAAGGCTCACTGTCTGACCACACTCACACTGTCTGCCTCCAAAGCCACTGTCACCAGGCACGCTGCTTTGCATCTCACCCACCAGACGTATTTTCCAATAGCTCCTAAGTGCCGACGATGTTGACAGTACGCACAATGCAAGCACAGACCCCTGCTTTAATGTCTATTACACATGCCCAGTATTACATCGCATAATGTGCACACTGAAAAATAACTGGGTTAAAAATTAACCCAGTTTGGGTCAATATAGTGTTTTAAGTCAATGTTATTTTTTGTTTTGCTGTTTGGTTATTTACTCAAACTAAGTGTGGTTATTTTGACCCCAGTGTTGAACACAACAAGCTCAAGTTTCACCTTTATGTGGCTGTAATGGATTTTATTATTGTCTAGCAGGAGAAATCAGTTCCCATGCACCCACATGACATCAGCTGCTTTTTAGGGCCTTAATGGTGTCTAGTTGGGAATTTTTCATGATGCTAAGGTCAGCTGATGGCCTATGAGGTTTATTTGGTGGCCATCCTGAATAGATGTCCACGCAAGTGTCGAAAAACACAGATTTTCATAAATCCTGAACCAGATGACATGAGCCATTTTCCATCAAAATTAGTGCGTGGATGAAGGGATTTTAAATGCAAGAAAACTGGTTAAGAATAGGCAATGGACTGCATACAACTTTATAGTAGACTAAAGTGTGCCTTTCTGTGTTTTTTTTTCTTCTTTTCAGGTGTCCATCCATCCATTTTCATCCACTTATCGGGGACCTCCTTACCCTATCTCTAAGGCTGAGCCCAGCCACCCCACGGAGGAAAGTCATTGCGGTCGCTCATTCTTTCGGTCAGTACCCAGAGCTCATGACCATAGGTGAGGGTTGGGATGTAGAAGGACCAGTAAATCAAAAGCTTCGCCTTCTGGCTCAGCTCCGTCTTCACCACGACGGTCCGACACAGCGCCCGCATCACTGCATGCACCAAACCACCGATTCTCTTTCTTTTCAGGTATGTTGATATTATGGACAGGGCAGAAAACAGGTTAGTTGCAGCAAAAAGCAGCACGGAGGCCACTGAAACTCATGAAGTAATGGAGGTTACTTCTTTTTTATGCCTCTTACTTATTCAGTCTCTCTAAAACTCGGTGCTGACTTAATTCTGAACAATATTTGAGTACTGCTTGGATGGAAATGGACGGTATTTTGTGGCGTCTATCATTGCCTTGTCAAAACAGTGTTGTTTCCCTTTTAGCTGTGATTGTTTCTTTTTTAGCCATGATTGTGATATGTATCTTTAGACATACTGCAATGAACCAACTCCTAACTTTCGCGTAACAGTAGTGGAAAGAAAAACACAGAAATTCCCCTTTTCCTTTACAGATTTTCATCAAATTCGGTTGAAATTTGGTCTACATTTGAATTGAAGGGATCTTTCATATGAACCTACAGTACAGAGAATTAACACCTGAATCTGCAGCTTGTATTGGCTTTATGGAGCTTTATACCAAACTTTATACCTTCAAACAGCATTATTGTTTTCAGCTCTCTCACGGCTCTTGAAGTGTCTGTCTCAGCCAAAGCAGGCAGCTGTTTTCAGAGAAAAAGGTCTAAAAACCTGCGTACACTACCTGCTCAGCAGCAAGCTGCAGACAGACACAGTTAGAGTTTAGCTGGGGAACACAGTGGAGCATTTAGCAGCTATGGAGCCAGATATTCAGTGTGGCGTTGGAGTGTAAAATCTGGCATGGGTTTCTACTATTTCCTTTCACAGCAGTGGCCAAAAGCAAGATGACCTCTACCTGCAACACTAGCTTTTGTTAACTTGAAGCCACGCTGCAGCTCATCAGGCAGACCACACACGGAGTGCGGAGGAAGCCCACTGCTGAAAAAGAAATAGAGAGGATGAAGAGGCAAAGGGGAGAGGAGTTAACAGTCTTGTTATCACAGAGGGTGAAAAATGAAATGGTGAGTAGTTTTTTCCGCCATAAAAACTCATAATGTATGTACACCACCTCCCCTCAGTGTTAAACATGTTATCCTTTGCATCTCTCATCTTCGGCTGCTGTCCTCTCTCTCACAATGTTGCTGTTAAAGTGAGTTTGGTTTATTTTCTTTTTATATGGAGTTTCCATCATGCTCCACTCCCTCTGTGGTTCCAGCGCGGCTGGCCAAATGGCAATAAAATGCTCAAAGGACATCAGAGAGGGAGAAGGAGACCTATTTGTTAGCCTAACAAAATCTCAAGTAGTTAAATAGGCAGTCAACATGTGAGAAAAAAAGGAGCTTCAGTGCTGTTGTTCGGAGTAAGACAAGTGGCCGAACAACAGCCGCAGAGAAGCAGCTAACCAGTGTCTGTGTCAGTGAAGGAGAGTCAGTAGTCAGTCAACCAACCTTTGACATCTCATCTTTATTTATGTTGTGGGAGGCTTCTTTTTATGTACAAGGCCATCTAAAAGTACTGGAAATATGCACAATACAAGAAAATAAACACATTAAAAAACAAGAACATAACTCAAATAAAAGCAGCTTCGGTCAAATAAAAAAATGCATGCAAAGTCATCATAAAAACAAAAAGCACTTTCAACTGCTGTGTTTGCTAAAATTATGGCTTTAAGATGCAAGTGGAATGAGTGAGTCTATGTGAAGATTTTCCTGCACTCTGTTCCATTTGGATGTGAATGAAAACTGAAAGCAGATTTTCCTTGTTTTATTGTGGTTTCTGGGGACTTTGAGAACTAAATGGTCCTGACAAATCTATGTCAGTGTGCGCCCTCTGTCTCTGCCTCACTCCTGTCAACGTGGAAGACTTATTTTCTGAATGTGAGTTAAAATGGTCCAGTCTACCACCTGAGATACAACAGGAAACTTCAGGTCTTATTTCACAAATGTGCATTAAATATGGATTTCATAGTCTTGTATTTCAATCCAAGACAAATGCACAGGCAGGAAAGCCAGCGCTTAACTGACTTACAGCGAAGATTTATATGTATAAATACATGTTACAAAGTTGTCCTCAGAAGGACAGTTAAGGATACTGCTGCCAGTATTCCAGAGATGTGGACTCGAGTCACATGACTTGGACTTGAGTCACAGAAAAGATGACTTTAGACTGGACTTGCCAAAATCAAAAACAAATTGCATCTTGACTTGGACTTTAACACCAGTGACTCATGACTTAATTTGGAGTTGACTTTTGACTTAAAAACACTTGATACCTTACTCCAGGCCAATTTAGGAAGAGAAAGTTATAGATGTTCCTCCAATATGAGAATACAACAAGACAAATACATACAAAACTTATTCTGTTGTAGTAGGCTGCTGGTTAATAGTGTTGTTATGTGTTGTGTGTTGTTATGTTTAGTACTTGAAACTCAAAGCTTAGAACTAGGGACTTGGGACTTGTCAGACTTGACTTGAGACTTGACTGAGGATTTGCGTATCTTGAGTTGGGACTTAAATGCAAAAACTTGAGACTTGGTTGTGACTTGCAAAACAATGACTTGGTTCCATCTCTGCAATATTCAATTCAAACAAACAAATCCCATGAAAAGACTTAAATCAACAATGTTGTTGGTTCCTCCAGAACACCTCATTAGAGGCAGAACAACAACTCTGTTGAAGGTTGGTGAAAAATTTGGTGAAAAGTTGACATCATAGATACAGAAACATGCCGGATCAAAATAAATGTTTGATTAATGGTAACAAATATTTTAGTAATGCACATATTGCATGTTTTTTTTGCTCATGTGTAATTTGTAATAAGGTATTAACTGTAACTGTTAGTTGCTGTCCACATAGTGAGCTTGATTAGTTAGAAAAGTTATTTATTAGCATTAGTCAGATAAATTATTACTTAGTAGTTTTAGTTGATGAACTTGTGCAGCAACAAGTGTGGGACAAAATCACTTCAAACTGTTATCAACCCTCTAATCAGTAAAATACAACACATCTTTGTAGCGCTCATGTTGTTTCCACATTACAACTTAAAGCTCATGAACACACCAAAGACCTTCTGAGGAGTACATGAAGGCATCATTTGTTATTCATTGATGAGTTTTCAGTTATTTTTAGACAATAATGGAGGAGGGAAATCAGCTGTATCAGAACAGAAAATACTTGTAGAATCAATTAATTGTTGGTTTTGGTGTATTCATAGGGTTTATTGAAAAGAAATATATAGAATATCACCAGATGGTTTTAATCCTCATCATCTTTTCTTTCTTGTCATTTTCTCAGCCTGACATCTGAATACACTGTCATCCAGTTCTTCATTTCAGCTCTGCCTTTGGTTTACGATGGGGGTCAGTAGAGTCAACCATCCCTGCTCAGTGACCCGGTCGCAGTCTGGGTCATCACACAGCTCTGGAGGTTAAATAGCTGTAAGAACACTCGTTAATCTGCAAGCACTTGGTGAAACTGGCCTTAATCTCCCTCTGGACTGTCCTGTCTCCCCTCACGGCACGGGCAGCCGTGCCCGAGAATAGGCATGTAAACCATGTAGGCCTGACACCAGTTGTTTTGACTGAGAGCACTGAGGCACTGACTAATATTGTGCAACACAAGGCAGGGCCTTTAGCCCTATAAGCTATAACGATGAAATCCCAGCTGTAAACTCACCCCTCCCTCCTCCAGAACAGATCTTTTCCAGGATGGAATTTGGAGGCATTTTTTCTCTTGAAAGGTGCAGTTAATCATATCAGAAAATTCTGATACACACAGCAGAGGGTGTATTTCTCAGCATTGTTACAGTATTCCTTGAGAAATCCACACCCATTAGAGTCAATGTGGTAATGTGATAGTGTTGAGCAGGCATCCAGAGCCGTATCAGCGCTGTGAACAGACAAACAACGCTCCAGTCACCACTTACATTGCTCTTACATTTTCACTGTAAAGTCAATAGGGATATAAAGCTACTAAATAGTTTTTAATTGGCACTCGAGATATCTAAAGTGGCACTTTACATATTGTCCAAGCAGGGTATAATAAGGGCCATGAATGAAATAGGAATACAGCTTAAACCAGATGTGGGTAAAAAAAAAAAAAAAAATAATAATAATAATAATAATAATTTGCTGTACTAGCTAGCTAGCTAGCTTACATCAAAATGCCAATTTGTCCAACAGTTGCCTTTGTGTTGTTGTGTTAATTAGCAAACATTAGCATGCTAACATGCTGAACTTATACGATGTACAAGGTAAACCATGTAAGTGCTAAACATCAGCATGTTAGCATTGCCATTTTGAGCATGTTGTCATGCTGACTTTAGGAGAGGCGCTAGCAAGGCTGTAGACTATTGTTAGCATCCATACCATAGATGTATAAAGAAACCTGGATACAGCATTTGAGGCGGGGCTGCAGTCATTCCTATGAAAGCTACTCAGTGGTGCATAAAGCCAAAAACAATCAAATTTAGTGTTATAGAGCAAGTGCACTAGAGACTTTGCCAGCCGAGTGGCTAACTTCCACTGGCCAAGCGGCTAATCTACTGTTTGCTAACTTGAATGGTGATAAAATGATTTGATCTTTCGGCTTTTCAAGACTTTCAAAATGTTATTGGATGTAATGGATTCATTTCTGACTGTGAAACGAGTCATTTCACAGGGGTTGTGATGACCCCAAAAATGTATCCACTGATTTACAGTCGTCTATTTCACAATGTAAGTCTATGGGAAAAGTATTTCTGGGCCTCATGCGATGACCCCAGAAGTTGTAGTAACATGGTTACAGCATGTTGGGAATAGAATGATGTTATGTGTTTTACTATAAGTTGTGTTTCACTATATAAGTTTTAGATGTGTGAACAATGAGAATACTGAGATGATTTCAGCTGATCTGAATGTGTTTGCTTTGCAGAAGTGGAGAAGTACAGGAGAGGAAGAGACATGAAGTCTGAGGAGCACATACCGCAATGCTTAGATAATTAGTTTCATATATGGTAAAAAGAATAGAAAGTGATATACAGATAGTAAGGTACAGCACGTGTAGGGAGTTGTGTTGTTCTCTTGTCTTTCAAAACAGGAACCACGCCCCCACCGCCAGCGGGAAGGAGTCAGATTAACACGAGGCAGGGGCGTGGTGTGGTGAAGGAGGAAGTGGAACTGCCAATGAGAAGAGGACAACGCCTTGCGTGCACAATGACACTCTGTTACGCTCAAATATACTGGGTCAGGGAAAGGACAGGAGGTCAGACTTCGTGAACTGACACACCTTTGTTGTTCGTCAGGGACGTGAAGTTGAGACCCAGAGCTCTGTAATTTTATTCCTTTACTGCTTAATAAACTACATTAACTGAGACCGAATATCTTCTCCTATTGCTTCATTAAAGAACACGCAGGACTGAGCTCACACATAGCACATTAGAGAGTAGGATGAGACTCTTAGTCCATCAAGCACTATGTCAGATTGGCTTCAAACAGGCTGTTTCCAGTTCTCTCTACACATCCATGCCAAATAGCAGCACTTTTGTTTTAGCTGTAATTAACAAATGTTAGCATTCTGACGTGCTAAACTTATATGGTGTACGTTAGGTGTGTGCCATATCATCTAGTTCACAATAACACCAGTGTAATTTTTAATATCATATAAATAATTCACATGTGATACTTGTGTACGTACAGCAACAATAAGCATGGCTGAAAGTGAAATTATACTGACCTACCGCAGCTTCAGTGGCGTGGAATAAACTGTGTTGCCCTGAATGTTTTATAAACAGCCCGGGACTTCTCAGACTCTTTTATTGCCCACCCTTGGTGTACATGGTAAACACTAAAACCGCTAAACATCAGCATGTTAGCATTATCATTATGAGCATGTTGCCATGCTGATGTTAGCAGAGGCGTTAGCAGGGCTCTTGTTAGCATCTATATCAGAGGCAACTGGACCATGATATGTCCATGTCTATGTTGAAAACTAACTAGCTAACATTTAAATTTGAAATTTGTTGTGCTCTGCAATCATTAATGGAGACAGTAAGGCAAGAACTCATTATATGTAAAGTTTAAGAAAGGCAATTACTCAAATACCACAGCTAATACAACATTATCGACATAAAGATCTCTGCAGTCTAAACAGGTGTAGGCTGAAGCTGTGGCTTATTATACCTACACTTTTTACAATACAGTACAGTACATCGCATTTGACATCAAGAGCTAACATCAAGAGAAGCTTACAGTATTCTGAACTCTGTCATATTAATGACAGAGTGGCTTTCTGATTAAGAACGTTGTAGTGCACGTCTGTGTACTATAGAAATACAGATGCCCTTTGGAGCGGGTTGAACAGTATTAAGTTAACAGTTAAGAGTATTTGTGTTGCTGAAGAGCTTTTATGTGAACATGTGATCTTATTCCCACGTCACACAGACTCCTGGTCCAGTTTTTACACAGGCCGGCAGCTGACAGGAATACTTGCGGTTATTTGTGTGTGTTCTCTGTCTGTGTCTGATTCTGTCTTCATGCATGCACTATGTATTTGTGCAATACTGCTTCAGTCAGTGGACGCAGCAGGGCGTGTCACACCACTGCATGCTTGTTACATTAACACGCAAAAAAATCATGCCATGGTTCCATTTCAGGCTATTGTATAATTACATTTGCAATGTTCTTTTCTTGTTGCTATACTGAGACACTCTTCTGTACTTTTACGACTTAGTGTCTTATGCTATGTGAACGTAGCAGAATTATTTATGTGGATGCAACGACTCAAATGCTCAGACAGACGTTATAAAATGTTCCAGATGGAGATGTGCGAGGAAAACCGATCTTCCCACCAGGGCCACAAGTCTGCCTTTTTGATTAGGCCCCATTTGTTTCTAAACTACAGCGCCGATTAAAACAGCTTGACTGGGAACTATTTCTGACATTTGAGGGAATCCTTGTGAGATTTACAGAATGAAGGCCAGGACTCTGAGACCAATAGCACACTTCTATTTTGTTGGTGTGGTCTCAAACCTCCCCAAATTACCCCCTCACAATTCTTTTACCACCCAGATAATGATTCATTACAGTTGCAAAGCTCCACGCAGTGGTTTAACAACTTTTGATTCCAGTAAAGCCCAGCCTGCAAGCCTTGCCAATAAACAAACATACTGTAATTAGGCTACTTAAAACCAAAAAGTTGGACTTCTCCATGCTCCCTCATGGTGGTCTTGGTTTTTAATCACAGGTAATACACAGACTGCTTCACACGACTTACTGTAAAGACCCCACCACTCACAAATGTGTTTTGCCTATTGTGATTTAACTTGCACGGTCATAGATTCTGAATTTATCACTGAGGGAGAAAGAGCAGATATGTTTTCAGATTTTGTAGACATGCAAGCAGGATACTGACTTTGGTTTAGACAGAAATATCTCAACAGTTTGCCATGAAACATTGACACTCATGGTTCTCAGACGATGTATATAACTCAGGTGATCCCTTGACATTTTTTCTAGAGACATCATGAGGGTGACGGTTGCGGTTCTGAGAGAAATTTCTTGAAAAGTATTGGATGGATTACTGTGATATTTGGTACAGACATTCAGTTCCTCAGGATTAATTGTAATAATTCATAATAATGATCCCATTACTCACCATATAGCCGGTGTTGGGTTACATGTAATTAAATTGCAAAATAAATTGTAATCAGTTACAGTTACTGACCAAAAATATGCAATTAATTGGTTTCTAATCAATGACAATTGGTGATGACAAAGGGCTTACATCAAGGTAGATATTCTTTTCCATAACATATCTATATGCAGATCAGAATATAAGTTTCATTATGTTGTGTTGTGTCTTGCCGTCTTTTGGCAAAGCCTGTTTCCGGACATTTTTCAGCTTTATTGCCCAGTTTAAAACATTTCTCAGAAAGGTAATCAAAAAGTAATCAAATGTAGTAACTTTGAGAAAGTAAGTAAATAGTTCCAATATTTATTACATTTTCAAGAGGATAACTATCTGTAACATAGTACATTTCAAAAGTAGCCTTCGTAGCACTGCATAAAACACCATCATCAGGTCAAACTTTAAATTAGTCCTGTACTCTTACTTGAAACTAATGGCATTCCCATCTCAGTTGTAACAACTGTAGCAAATAACAAATGTTAGCATGCTAACATGCCAAACTTAGATTGTGAGTCCTCTGCTTCAGGATTTTAAATGTCAAACACTTAATTTCCTGCATTTTGGTGGTTTTAATGCACCAGTTTGTGTATTTTCTGCATCAGTTTATGGTGTAATGTCTTTAATTTGGTTAAAACAAAAGTCCTATTCTGCTTTCATGTTTTCATTAAAGAGGGACAAATGCACATGTTCTTAATATTGAGGAGGTTTCCCTTGTGTTTCACCTGTGACTATTGAAATAAGGTTACTAGCTAGCATGGCTGTAGACTTGTTAAGAAGATAATTTAACTTTTTAAAAACCATTGTTCAAATAACTATTTTATGTCTTTAAACATGTCTGAAATGGATCTTTAATGTGTCAAGACCAGAATTAGTTTTATTGTCAAGGTTTGCACATAGGCTATGAGGAATTTGTCTCTGTGTTTTGGTGCATACCCAGTGAGCACCAACCGGTATTTCAACGTTGAATTCTGGTTGAAAACTGGTTGATACTGGTCTGAACATCTGAGGCCTCTTTTCAACCAGCCAAAATGCGGTTACAACATCAAGTTGTCAAAATGAAAAAAATATTAAACTATTTTGATCCCAGTGAAAAATGGTCTAAATGTAAACGTTCAAACGTTTTTTTTTAACACTTTTTACCGGTGACTATAGTCATTTTTTAAACATCTTTTCAGGAAAAATGTTCGCTGGGTAATGTAAAATTGTAAAACTAAGAATACAAAATATAGTCAAATTATTTTTAGATTCAAACAGCAGTACAGTTTTTTTCAGGAACTGGCCAGAGGTAAGTTATGCCAAAGTTCACAGTATGAATGAAGTACAAACTACATGAATATAAAATATAAAATGAACCGTGTATAAACTACAGGGCAAAAGACTTTTTCCCTTAACTCAAAGAAGTCCTCAAGACTGTGTTTACATCCTAAAGGAAAAAAAAGCTGGAGC